GTATCTTTGAAAACTGTGGTGGGAAGTTCACTGCTCAAGTCACCTACACATGGTGGTACTGGTGCTGAGAACAACCACCAACATTTGCCTGACTTTTCACACCCCTCACTTGAAGTCACTGGATAGGAATAGCTTAGTTCACTACAGGAACTAAGGCTTTGATAGTTACTCTTCTAATTTTGTGCTAAAAATTCTTTCAAGAAAATTAGCTGTCTAACAGAATTAGTTTACAAATGCTGAAAAAAACCCCAACTTATATGCCCAGTGCTTAATTCAATGCTTTTCATGTGGTGGAAACCTTAACAAAAATATGTATGGAGTGGGGGTGTGCACATGCTTGCAAGTATAACTGAGCAATTTCATGGATCCATATTGCAGGAAAGAGGAACAGTATAGGTTACTTGTTTCCAAAGTAGCACCACAAATGAAAACTGAAAAGAAATTGCTATCACTTTGTGAGGACTTTAGCTCTCTCTTACAAGCCCTTCTTTGACTTCCCAAGACCTGCCAGTACCTCTGCATACAGAGTGGGGGCCAGCCAGGGAAATCCCCACAGAGAGTGACTGTGCTGCTGACCCACCAGCTCTCTGCGACGCCGTGCTGCTGCTGCTCCTTACATGTGGTGACACATTATTTGCCATTTCCATTGAGTTATGCTGTTCCTGCATATCTCTACATGTCAAGGTCACCCCAAAATTAGCTGTGTTCCTAACCACTTTTGATCATGAGTCAAAAAACATCCTAGAGAATCTAGCTTTTTATCATCAAATTTTTTTAGTGGCACTCTTCTGGTAACAAAATCTCTAGAGTCACTAGGATTTTTATTTTGCAGAAGTGATTTTCCATGTGGAAACCTGAGCACTAGCAAGACCATCCCCCCTTGCAGTGGATATTTGGTCCTGCAGTTTCAGGCAGCTCCTATGGAAGGGACCCTAGGGAAGAAGACTTCGGGTCACTGAGATCTACTCATGCCTTATGCCTATTTGGTAAATACAGCAAAAAGCAAGGTGTGGTAAACTAAGTCCATAGGAGTAGTCTCTGGCTGAGTCTCTTAGAGGTTCTGAGATGTGGGTAAACTTCAGCTAAACCCAACATTTGTTGCAGAGTGATGACTTTCCTGTAAGAACCAATAAATCAAGATCTAGCTTCCACCCTTTGCAAGACCACCTATGATTTCAAGTCCCAAGTGGATGATCATCACTCTTTCCATACATTCTTTACATAATTAGGCTAAACCAGCCATTATTTCTTCACATCAACTTGAGAATTTAAGAATTATGACTGCTGGTACATTTTGTTTTGTCTTCAGTTTCTACTGAAAAACTCAAATAGTCAGAGGAAGGTCCTTTGTCGTTTTCTCAGGAGAACAGCTCCACCAAAGAGATTATTAAGAAATGTTTTCACTTGAGCTTTGCCCATAAAAATGTGTTTTTTCAGGGACTCTCTCACCCACAGAGCCAACCACATGCACTCACACACAAGCAGCTGAACACTGTGGTTTAGGATAATATTCCCTCACCCTCAGCTGGCTTGTCCCACCCCAGGTAAAGCAAAATGTTTATTGTGGCTTAATTTGAATGACTGGTGCAAAATGACATGTCACATAGCGTGAAGGCATAGTTGCTTCTCCTCCATCTCCCTTCAGATATCAAAAAAAGATAAGGAAAAATTTCGCTTTCTCCAAGCCTTTGGCTTCACTAAAGGTGCACAAATACACAGACACATTCCTATTACTTTCTGACAGAAACCCAGGAAAATCCCAATCCAAAGCCAAATTATCACTCCACTAACAGACACACCTTTGAAAGTATGTCAGATTGCATTACATGAAAGTGTTTGGAGATGATCCCTAAATTGCTGAGATTTGGGTGAAAGGTGTGGGAAGTCTTACACTTTGGCTGCATCTTCAACACAGATTTTTCTCCTCCTCACTCTGCTATTTTCCTAAAGTCCTGACACTGCTGGGAAGACTCTCCTTTTGCTATTCATAAACTCGGAAGGACCTGTCCAACATTTAAGATCTATAGGCTTCTTTTGAAAACCAAGAACAAGATTTTCAGTAGCTTTTAGGCATTTAAAGATGCTGGTGGTTTCCTAGTGAGGTCTTCAAACCAGAGCTGTGCACCCAGGTATTCAGAAACCAACTGCAAGGCAGAAAAAATAAGACCTTTAACTTCTCTCAGTACATAAATAACTTTTTAGAGAAGCTGAGTTGGATGAGACAGGCAATGAGCTGAAATACCGAAGACTATCCCCGGCATCCCTCCTGCTGCCAGGCATGCTTGCCTTATAGTCACAGTATCTGATAGGGATCATCCAGCAGCAGCACATACAACTCTACCACATTTCTCATCAAGTTTTGTCTGATCCCTCCTTCCTTTGGGAGCAGGGGGAGAGAGGAGTTGTACAACCGGCACCAAACACAGGCTGCTTCTCCAGTACCTGCAGCAGATCCCAAGACCCAGACAGCTCACAAGGCCACTGGGGAGGCTCTGACCTCCTCCCACAAAGATGTCAGCCAAGTGCCATCTAGCACAAGGTTGTTCAGTAAATAAGCCCCCACCTTCCACTTCAGCAAGTCACAGGCACCAGCCCCAGCCAAAATCAATAGATGAGAAGCAATCTGTCATTTCCAGGCCACACTGGTTGGGTTATGAGGAGTCAAAAAACATGACAGGAAACACAGATGTAGTGAGATCACCTTCTCTGGAGCCTTCCTATCTCTAGAAGTCTTGCCTCATCTCCCTCAAAATTTCCACGTGGGCCCACAAAAACATCTCGTGTTAAACTGCAGGTGCATTGCATGACGCTTGGCAGGGCCAAGGGAGCCCAGCACAAGCAGCAGGAGGTTGAGTTCACCCTGAGCTGTGGACAGGCTGGTGTCTCCCCGAAGGAAATTTTTTTCAGTTATTTCAAATACCTCCCACTTGCACACAAAGCTCATGTTTTGTAATAAAAACAAGGACAAAATCTCATCCAAAGGAATTCTACCTATTTCCCTCTCTACTTATTCCACTGAAGTTATCTTTTTAAAAAAATAAACCCCCCAAAACTGGCCACCAGAACAATAAAGTAGCCAAGAAAGTAATTTAATAACCTCCTTCTTCAAAATCCACCCTGTCCTTCATACTTGTAGGTTTCAACAACAGTCCTAAATCATCCAATATCTTCTAATTTTTTTAAAGGTTTTGCTGCATTTCTGTTTTCATACGGGCAATGCTTTTCCTTTGTGAGAGATGCACAGAATGGTGCAAATTTTCCAGTAGCTGGGATTTTCCCTGCAAACTGAGGCAGGTGTCACACTACAGAGAGGTAAAACTGCAGCGATTTACTCGTTATGGTATACAATGGGGCAGGAAGGCCAACAGAGAACAGAATGGGGACATCTCCCCCCCCCCCGATAAAAAAGGAAAAAAAAGATTGCTTAGTGTTTATGTGCCCAGATGAAGTTGCAGCGGGTTAATAAGTTACCATGTCCCAGCCAGGCCACAGTAACTGATCATGCACAGACTGTCCTCGAAGTCCAGTGCCATTGAGCTTTAAGCAGAAATACCATGTCCTAAGGCCCTAATCCTTTAGCTCACAGCAGCACAGCCAGCTGTGGGCTAAAAGCCACATTAAACTCACTGGAGGAGAAGCATTTGCTGAAATGCTGTGCTGAACAAGGATGAGCAACTGTACTTGGGCTTTAGCTACACTTACAAACTCCTGTACATCTTGGCTCTGGTTTTCTTTTGCCACATGGCAGCCGGTTACATCCAAGACTTTGAATTCCTGGGAGAGAAAGTGACTGCAGAAACTCAGCTGTGCAACATATGCTCCACCTAGTGTTTACTCACTAATATTTCATTTTCTTAAATGGTTTGTTTCGCTGTTAACGCACAGTTCCATCTTTTCTGTGGTTCATTTGTCTATATAGAATTATTATTGAAAATAACAACCTTCTGCTTGTGGTTCCACCTACATAATTTTTATTTAGCCTCCACTACACCTTCAGTAATGATAATACATGCCCTCATCACACTAGGGCACAGCAGCTGCTGGGAGTGAGTCCCAACAGGCAGTTTGGCAAAGCTCTGCAGCATGAGTGACTTGGAAAAGCATGAGGGCTTTTCCAGGTGCCCAGGTTGGGTGCAAGGCATCTTTGCATGGTGGAAAAGCAGGGACAGAGGGACAGCCATTAGGCCTGGCAATTGCCAAAAAGGGCAGGATTTGGTTGTGGGATAAAATACTCCAACACATGGAGAGTCTCATTTTACCATAAGCTCTCCCCAGTTTGCACTCCTCTAAGGAGTTCCTGGTTCCTGATTTGCTGTTCACCTGCTGGTAAATGCCCTTACTGCAGAAAGGAAAGCCAACAGCAGATGCGACAAGAACTCCCATCTTTAGAAAACAGTAGAAGACCTTTAGAAAATAGTTTAACACTCCCAGAGAAAGTCTTGGGTTGGCTGTTCCTGACTGGAGCAGAGATGACTCAGGCAGCCCTTAGATGGCCCAATTCTGAGTGGAGGCCAAGAGGATCCCAGCCCAGTTTTAAGAGAAGAGCTGGTAAGATGTGCAATAGGAACAGACCCTGAAGCCATGGGGCATAGGCACAGATTTAAGCTGCAGAAACTGAGCTTTCATTGCTGTGGAGAGCAGAAGGGGCACTGACAATTTAGCTTCCTTGGGCAGAAAGTGTTTATAAGACCCTCACATCCCCTGCCTGCTCTCCCCCTGTGCCAGAGCTTGTAGCAGAGCTCGCCCAACCTGTGCTGTGGCACTGACACAAGGGAGAAAGCAGCAAACTGGGAGCAGGTGTGAAGAAACTGCAGAGGGCATAGCATAAAACTAAATACATATAAGGACATTTACTGTATTAGTACTGTTTGAGTAAGAGCCTCCAATAAACCAGATAGGTCCACTTTGCTGCAGAAAATGAGAGCATGTTGCCCTCATATGGGAAATACATAACATAAAAATCTTCTGCCAACTGTGGGTTTTGTGGTGATTTTTTGCAGGTGATGGCCGCGCTGCTCTTTCCTGTGCAGCTGCTGGCAGTGGCTGTCACCGTTTACCTGGAGCTGGTGAGGTCTGCTCAAGGAGGTGCCTACTATGGGATCAAGCAGCTGCCACCTCAGGTGCCCCAGTACCAACCTCTTGGACAACAAGTACCTCACATGCCGCTGGGCAAAGAAGGCATCCCAATGCAGCACATGGGCAAGGAGATGCCCCACATGCAGTACGGGAAAGAGTACCCCCATCTGCCTCAGTACATGAAGGAGATTCCACAGAGGCCCCTGCTTGGCAAGGATATGGCTCCCAAGAAAGAGAAAGGTAGGCTGGCCATGTCCCTCCCCAACCCTGTACGATCCCACCCGGTGCACCAGATCACTGTTTGCCGGGGGGGGGTTGGGGGGGGGCTGAACATTGGAGCAGGCTGCTGCAGGCTGGGCACAGCACCCCTGTGCCCAAAGGGACTGGCTAGGTTGGTACCTGGCCACAGGTGGACAAAACAGGCTGTGGGGCAGCTCAGGGTCACCAGCACAAGGCCACAGTCATCCTCTTTACTGCAGCACAGCCTCTGAGCAGCCCTACCTATGATGAGCCTCCAGCACCCAGGGCTGGCCCCAGATTTGCCTGGGTGCTTGTTCGAGGTTAGGAGAAACCTCGTAATCGCACCTGCCTGCAGAAGTCCCTCTGATGGGGTTTCAAAGAATGGCCCAGGTAGGTGGGCCAGCGTCCTGCCTGGATCTGCTCACTGCAGCAACCAGACATAAGAGCTAACAGCCCCAAGATTTGAATTTACAGGAAAATCACAGTTTTGTCTGAATTTGCCCAGACTCTGTGATTTAGAGGTTTGCAGATAAGAACAATTGCTCTTCCAACTCTGGAGTCCTCTTCCTATAGGTTATTTATGGGTGTAACAGAAGATTGAAAGTACAGAGGTTTACTGCACAAGTCTGCACGTACAAGCACTTTCTGTATTCAGTAAAGGAAGTTTGGACAATATTAAGATATTTAACAAAATAAGAAAGAAAGTCCAAATACAAACGGTGACCAGGAACACCCAGTATCATAAAATCCTTATGAGGACAGCCAGCGTCTATGTGACTTCAGACAAGCTGGTTAACCCTTTGTCTTACTGAGGCTTCAGCTAACCACAACATCCACTGGCTTCAGAGGGAAATGGAATGTTTTTGGACCGTCTGAACAAACATTACTGGCTGTGAAATCAACCCATCTCATGAGCAAAGATCTTCTACGTGCATAAAACACAATATGTGTAGAGAGGAAGGGTTTCTGCCTCTCAAAGAACAGTTAATTCTCTTGTCCTGAAACCTCATCTCTTGCCTTCCCCCAAGCCTCTCACTTTTTTATCCATTTTAGAGCTGGAGAGATTTTCCACTTAACATGAAAAGCCTGCAGCTTGAAAAGCAACTGACCCCAGCACAAACAGTCACACACAGAAACTCCCTCCCTGACCTGTAGTGCTAAGTGGTCACATACACAAAAATGTGGGTTTGGACAATAAAATGATTTTGCAAAACATTTAGAAGAGATGTAACTAGACACGGCTATGCCAAAATAGCAATGCTGGTTAAGGATGTAGGTTTGTTTCCAGTAATACCTTAATGGGAACCAAAGCCTTGGTGAATATAGACATACCTACATACAAACCTTACTGACAGAATCTTTTTTAATTGATCTTGCTCATGTAAGCCTTCCAGCAAAAGTACTTTTATGCCAGGATTCCTCCTACAGCACGAAAGCACCGAGCAGCTTCTGTGTCTTGTGAAAACTCTTAAAGGTGGATTAACGTACAGCAAATATGGAACAACGTGCAGATTTTGCTGTTTAAGACTGTATAAATGGAGAATACTAGTAAAGCACAAATAGCTTTTACATATGATGCACAGTAATTATTTTATGGAAACAGACACATGCATGGAAGATTGGGGTATGCAAAACAGCAGGAACATCCTCTTCATTCCCAGGACCAACCTGTAACTTGCTAGGTGGTTCTACCTACCACAAACCCACGAGGCATCGTAACAAGCACATTCCATTCAAAACTGCCTTTATGTTTTTTGAGGGATGCGACTGCAATCACCTTTTGTCTCTCTCCCTCCCCTTTCTTTTTCTTTTCTTCCCAACCCAGAAATGCCCATACGCAGTCTGAGGGGTGAGCAAGGCCCCCCTGGTGAACCAGGACCAAGAGGGCCACCGGGACCACCTGGATTACCAGGCCATGGTGTGCCAGGAGCCAAAGGAAAACCAGGCCCACAAGGATATCCAGGAATTGGAAAGCCGGGTTTGCCAGGGATGCCAGGAAAACCAGGGGTCATGGGGCCCCCAGGGCCAAGAGGGGAGATGGGGCCGAAGGGGGAGATCGGGCCTATGGGAATACCCGGACCACAAGGACCACCAGGACCTCACGGGCTTCCCGGCATAGGGAAAGCAGGTCCTCCGGGTCTGCAGGGACAGCCAGGGCCAAAGGGCGAGCCTGGGATGAAGGGGCCACCAGGAATCCCTGGGATCCCAGGGCCAAAAGGGGAGAAGGGCATTGGAATCCCAGGTTTGCCAGGTCTGAAGGGTCCACCCGGGCTGCCTGGTCCCCCTGGCCCTGTGGGGCTGCCAGGGGTTGGCAAACCAGGCATGGTTGGCTTCCCTGGGCCACAGGGACCCCTGGGTAAACCTGGACCCCCAGGAGAGCTAGGGCTGCAGGGGCCTCCCGGAGCCCCTGGGATCCAAGGCCCTCCTGGCCCACCTGGTATCGGCAAACCAGGCCAGGACGGAATGCCTGGCCAGCCAGGCTTCCCAGGTGGCAAAGGAGAGCAGGGATTGCCAGGTCTACCAGGGCCCCCGGGCCCCCCTGGGGTTGGGAAGCCAGGCTTCCCGGGGCCCAAAGGTGAGCGAGGTGTGGGTGGGCTGCCCGGCCCCCTGGGGCCAAAGGGGGAGAAGGGACATGCAGGACCACCTGGCATGGGGGGGCCGCCAGGAGAGCCAGGCCAGCCAGGACTGCCAGGCATCATGGGACCCCCAGGGGCCGCCGGTTTCCCAGGACCTAAAGGAGAGGGCGGACCCGTGGGGCCACCGGGACCAGTTGGCCCCAAGGGAGAACCTGGCCTGCAGGGTTTTCCGGGAAAGCCAGGCTTTCCTGGGGAAGTGGGGGCCCCTGGGCTGCGGGGGCTGCCGGGCCCCACAGGGCCCAAGGGGGAAGCAGGACACAAAGGCTTGCCGGGGCTGCCGGGTGTCCCAGGGCTTGTGGGGCCAAAGGGTGAGCCGGGGCTCCCCGGTGCCCAGGGGCTTCAGGGACCCTCAGGCATTCCCGGCATTGCAGGACCCAGCGGCCCCATCGGCCCCCCAGGGCTGCCAGGAGCAAAGGGGGAGCCAGGCATGCCTGGACCCCCTGGCTTCCCTGGTGTAGGCAAACCTGGGGCTGCAGGGTTGCAGGGACCCCCAGGGAAGCCTGGGGCACTCGGTCCTCCCGGCCAGCCAGGGCTCCAGGGGCCACCGGGCCCCCCTGGACCCCCAGGTCCCCCGGTCATCATCCCACCCACTCCACCAGCTGTGGGAGAGTACCTGCCTGAGGTGGGTCCAGGGATAGACGGCGTCAAGCCCCCCTATGGCTACAAGGGCAAGAAAGGCAAGGCTGGTGGCATTGTCTACGAGATGCCTGCGTTCACGGCAGAGCTGCTCACCCCCTTCCCCCGGGTTGGGGTGCCTGTGAAGTTCGACAAGCTCCTCTACAACGGCCGGCAGAACTACAACCCCCAGACAGGGATCTTCACCTGCGAGATCCCCGGCGTCTACTACTTCGCCTACCACGTCCACTGTAAAGGGGCCAACGTGTGGGTGGCTCTGTTCAAGAACAACGAGCCGCTGATGTACACCTACGATGAGTACAAGAAGGGCTACCTGGACCAGGCTTCAGGCAGTGCCGTGGTCCAGCTCATGCCTGGAGACAAGGTTTACGTTCAAATGCCATCCGAGCAGGCAGCAGGACTCTATGCCGGGCAGTACGTTCATTCATCTTTTTCAGGATATTTATTGTATCCCATGTAAAACAAAAAAACAGACACACACACACAACAACACACACACACACGAAGTCAAAACCTTTCTCCTCTGCTTCAACTTTTATACCACAAAAAATGCATTTTATGACCATTTTGGACCATCTTGTACAAAAAAAAAGAATAAATACAAAGTTTAACATTATGCACAGCTAGTTATAAAAACAAAAAGGTGTGGTGAACATATCTAAAGATGCATATCAGGTTCATAAGCAGTTGTTTTGCACCCAAGGGGGACATATTAGCTGTACGTTATATATTTCTGCAATGCCATGCTTACTTAATTTCATTCACAATAACTCAGTACTAAAGTTCAAATTAGTGTACGTCACTCACTCCTGTTGCATTGATCATAGTTATGAGATGAAAAACAGTGACTTAAACCAGAGTAGGTCAGTCTCTAATTATAATAAAAAATTTGAGTGGCTTATTTGTCTGGGTGGGGGGTTTCTTGGTTTTTTTGACAGCAGGTCTGCCTGACAAAGCAAAGGTTCTCGTAGCTGAAGACCTTTATTTCCCTTCCCCCATATAAAATATTCCTGCAGGTAGTTTTTTTCCTGAATGATTTATGATGGAAAAGTGGTATTGATGCTGTAACTAACCAATTCCCCTGAGTCTTCTCCAGCAGTCACTGGACTCAAAATGCTGCCACTGACTCCAGCAGGCACTGGTTTCACCTCCAAAGGCCACAGCACTCAAAATGTCTCCATCTCTATTTGCGCAGCTGAAGTAGATGAGGTAAATCAGAGACAAAAATGAAGGGCTCCCCATTTACTTTGTGCCACGTCATTGAGACATTTTGGCTTACACAGGGTGGCACAAATTTGCTTGGATGTCTGTGCTTATACTAAGAACCCATTTGGCTTGTCAGAAGAAACACCTATTCTACCACTCAGCAAATCAGCTTGCTCTTCAATGACTAAGCAAAGCAGAAGTACTCTGTTTGCTAATTAACTACTTTGTTGCTTGAGATCAACCGATAAGTTTACCAGCAATGCTGATCACTCAAATTTATCCGAGAACTTCATTCTATCTAAAAGCTGATTTCCAATCCTTATTTATATGTTACCAGTTGTCAAGGAGAACCTGCAGGCCTCAACCTTTCCTGTACTTGAGGACAGCGACTTCTCTGCAAGAAGTCTCTGTCTGCTCATCAGTGGTGCTACTCTCACCTCAACAGTGTTCCGTTTCCAAAGGGCAGCGTACTTTACTGTGGTTCCCTGTACAGTGCTGCACATCACACACTGCTGCGCTACTTGAGTTAAATGCTCATCACTTCTTCCATTTCTTTAGCTAACGCTACCGCTTTTGAGTGAAAAATGAACTAGATTTTTCATGCAGAACTCAGATTGGATTTAACTGGCATTACCATTATTTAAATGCAGAGTTTAATGCAGTCTAACATTGACTAAGGACTCCAGTGATATAATGTGGTGCTTTATCTCAGAAATTTTATGGAACGGTGGCAGGAATGGACGGACAGTTTACCAGACACTGGTGACTTCAGTATGTTCCCAGAATATATGAGGTATGTCAAAAGCAAATAATTTTGTATTTAAAATTTTTGTACTGATTTGAAAAAAAAAATATCTTATTAAATATCTTTAAAAATAAAACCAAAAAACAATTGTCTTCATTCAGAACTGTTAGAAGGAACATTCAATCTGATGAATCCATGTATCAGACCACAACAACTCTCTGAAACCACTGACAGCTGGACACAGGGAAAAAAATCAAAAAAGAGAGATATCCTTTTCTTTAGCTCCCTCAGCAGCCTGTGAGGACAGGTGCCTGCTCAGCACAAGTTGATATGAGAGTGCAGCTTAAAAAGGCAGAGGGGTAGCATGAAGGAAGCCAAGGGATCTGTTGCAGAGGCATGCTGGTAAGGATTTGCACTCACCTAGAAAGTCAGAACTGGCTGCCCAGGCTGAGAGATGCTCAGCACATCCCTGGCTCTCCTGATGTGGCTTCCCCGATCTCACCTCAGAGACAGGCATTTTCCTCTAAGCTAAAGGAATGCACTGAATATCTACTGCATCAGGTAATTTTTACCTAAATCTCCCTTAGATTCCCTTAAGCCCCCCAGCATCTCATTTTTACATCACAAAAAGATTATGAACAAAGTACCATAATAGGGTCTCTCACTATCTAAAGCCTTTCTCACTTTTTGAAGTCTTTTGTCACACCCCATCTTTTTAGTTCAACATCTTTTATTTTAGCATTCCCCTGAAAGTCCACAATAAGACAAGCAAGATTCAAAAAAATGTGAAAAAAAATTCAAATCACGACGATGCTGCCCTTGACCTTATCCACAAAAACCATGTCCCAGCTTTGCTTGTACTCAGCCTAGAGTGAGACCTCCACCCACAGAACAACTCAGCCCACCTGGGTTCAAAAATTTTCAGCTGTTTGCTTCACTAAGCACCAAAGTTTGTTCCAAAACTTGATACCATATTTGACAACATATTTGATGCGTATTTGACACACCAATCGTTATGGGGCTGGGCATATCCACACATCCACACTCGCACACAGAGCAGTGGTCTTGGAAAAATAAGTCTGAGGGCACTGTCTTTTTAACAGTTTATTCACAGGAAAATAATCTCTTTCTAAATTTTTAGCATTCAAAATTTCACTTGAAACAACTGTAAGAATGTCTTCAAAATACAGCCGGCACTTTAAAGGCATATAAAACTTAAGACAAATGGCAAATAAAATAAGTATTTACTGATACCAAAACCACGTTGAGTTTAGTACATTCTTAAAAAATCAGAGTCCACTTAAAAGTTAAGCTATTGACACTACCCCCCAGGGCATTATTAAAAAGGAAAGCATGGCATAGGAAACAAGAAGTACCATATGCTAATTTTTAAACATCAAAGTTGCGATTCTGTATTATCACCACCAATACAGTCACTGGAAATGTAATTTAGTAACATCTTCTAGGCACTCTCAGATTCACATTTAGTGCAATAGTCCATGACCTTCCTTCTTAAAATATCTCAGTACTTCCCTTAATTATTACAATGGAGGAAAAATACTTTCCCAACAGGAAATAAAAAAAAAAAGCGAACCTGAAAGTCTGAGCCAAACAGAGCTTTTTCAGCTGACATGTGTCATCCTGCCTGTTCACTGCATATTTTGGTATCTTAGAGCTGGGTCTTTCTGACAGGGCGCTCTTTTGAGGGGGGTAGCAGATAAAATGCAGGAGCACCTTTGCTGTAAGATGCTGCTCTCTTGAAATTCAGCAGGCTGCTGGGGAACAGGACAGAGTAAGATGGGAGGAGAGCATCTCACTTCACAACTCATAGAGAAAGAAAAGTTATAGGAAACACTGGATACCTATACAGACACTGTTACTAGATGTGGAAATAAAGCTGGCAGCACCCTGGGATCCAAAATTGGCAGCTTTGCCCCTGATGTGATAAAAAAAATTGAATAGCTTATTAAGAGAAGTTTCAGTGCAGAGATTTC